CCAATCCAGGATCAAACCCAGGTCTCCCGCATTGCTGGCGGATTCTTTACCAACTGAGCCACCAGGGAAGTCCAGTAAATATTTATTTAATTTAACCTGTGAAAACTATTCTTTAGTTACTTATGTTGTTTTCATACAAAACAACTGTTCTTAAACTTTCAGGAAGTATGAAACTTTTATGGAATTTCCCTAAAGAGATGTACAAAGAAAATTTTACAAATAACTTCAGGGTGAACCAACCCAAGTTAAGAACTCCCGATATAGAATCACACCCTCATATAATGTACCTTAACTGCATACTACTCAAATAGACAACATATTAGTCAGTCTTACCTAGGCTTCAGAGCCAACTGAAATACAATTTCAAGAAAAGAAAAACATTTAGTAACTTATGATTAACCTGGCTTGTTTAGAAAGGTTCACTTCTTCAACTGTTAAAAACTACACAAATATGTGCTAAGTTTTTGATAAACCATTAACAACTCATTATTAATTTTGCTTTACGAACATTACAACTGGCTGATCAAGCTTTAAAAGATGCCATTTGCAGGGGACAAAGCAAAATAATCTTAACATTGTTGAACACTAGAAAGAAAATGGAAGGGGATCAGGTCAGTGCCATTGGCCAGGGATGTGAAAAACTGTTCAGAGCCTGTCATGTATGACCATACAGCCTCAGACAGACACCAAGGTGTTCACTTACGGCCAGAGTAGATTAAAATACAAACAGTGCAAAAAAATTACCCTGGCACTTCAAGAAACAGAATATCCCGATTATATATAGGAATGAATAAATTATACTAAAAAATGATCTTTAGAATGTGCTACTCATTTTTAAAAATCACTCTAAATGTATTTTTATCACTTTAAATTCACAGTAGGCCCTGTGGGATTCAAAGATGCATAAACAAAGTCCCTATTCTAAAGAGGCGTCCAGTGCTCTGAGAATGGAAAGTGCAGCATAAGGGTACAAAAATGATGAGTGATAATACTCCCATGTGCACATCCCTTAAAAGAAGCGTTCATTTATTCTCTATGCCCTCTTAAAAACCCACTGCTAGGGTAAAAATTGTGTTTTGTGTCCAAAAGCAAACTACAAATTCACAACTTTAATAAATACCAAGATTAAAAAAAAAACAAAAACCAGTCCCAAATCTCACAAGATTTAATTGCTATAAAGTGAGCTAAAAAAAACTTGAGAGGTAACAAAACTGAACTTTACAAGGAAAAAGGAGGTGTGCTTCCTGAACACAGCTTCTTTATCTTTTAAAAAGAATATTAATCTTAAATATTGCTTTTACAAATTACAATTCTTTGCTGCTTCTATTTTGTTGACTGTATGAAGAAATTAAAATATTAAGTCCTTATGACTGGTAAAGGCACCAGTGTTTTTTCAAGCCATTTCTCTTCCCCCAATCAAGTTCTAACCAAGTAGGCCGTGACAATTCATAACTGATTTAATCAAATGTTTTTTTAATCAAATATTTTTAATGTTTAATTAAAACATGAGATCTGAGGACTTGAGTTTCAAAGGTTCTTTTTTCACCAAATGTCAAAGCTACTGACATCTATAGATTTGACAGTTACTAAAGGAATACAGACTTTCCTCCTGGCTCATATGGTAAAGTATCTGCTACAATGCGGGAGACCTGGGTTCGATCCCTGTGTCGGGAAGATCCGTTGGAGTAGCAACCCACTCCCGTACTCTTGCCTGGAAAATCCCATGAACGGAGGAGCCTTGATAGGCTATAGCCCATAGGGTCACAAAAAGCCGGACACTACTGTGCAACTTCACTTTCACTTTCAAAGGTATATAACAAAATTGCTACATATGTCCCAAGCTTTCTAAATTTTAGCATACTGACTGGGCCATATTCGGAAATGTCCAAACCAAGTTGTAACTGATTTCAAATTAATTTAGCAAATCCTCAATGGTGGCCTAATTACACATTTAGTACTATGCTAGCAGTGGAGGGCTCCAAACAAACATGGAATAAAAGGAACCATTCCTGCACATTTCTCGAAAAAGTGAAATGACTTTCACTTTTCTATTTTACTTCAGAACTTGATATCAAAGAATGCAGGAAAGACCAGGGAGGAGCAACGAAGAATTTTCAGCATTTAAAAAGAAAAAAAAAGTGGTGAGTTATTTTCAATTAAACGGCCTACCTCCCCTGCCGGTTAACAGCAGCACAATGCCTAAGGTTGATTTTGATGACAGTATTTCTAAACAGCAAAAAATTTTTTCTCGTCCTCAATCTGTCTTCCTTTCTAAGGTCTTCTAACCCTCAGGCCATGACCAACTCTACCGAGTATTCGTTTTAAAATACACCAGGTGATTTTAAAACAAGAGGGTGGTGACTCTTTGAAAACTACAGACTTAAGTCTAGGCCCCGGTGTCCTCCGTCACAGTCCCGACGGCGGGCGGCGAGGAGCAGAGCCCACCTTCGGACAGCGTTTACCGCACCGGACGCGGTCGAGAGCAGGAGCACTGACCCCGAACGGCGTGGAGAAAAGGGGCGAGCGCCCTACGGAGCCCCAGCGGGGTCGCCGCGCCAGATGCCACCCCCGGAGCAGTGTACGGGAAGGCAGGGGTCGCTGCCGGCCGCTTCCAGAGCGCGGCCACCGCCTCGCGGGGCCTGGACGGCGCCGACGAGGCTGCGGAGGCGAGGGGGGCGGCGGAGCCCGGCGTCAATTCCTGCCCGCGACGGCGGCGCGCGTGGGCTCGAGGCCGCAGGGCCTCCATCGACGGCCGGAGGGCAGGGCGGCAGGTGCCGGAGAGCCGGGAGCCTTCGCCATCCGGGAGGATGTGCCCCGGAGGCCGCAGGCCGGGGCGAGAGAGGAAAGAGCCGGGAGCCCGAGACACCGGCCCCGCGGGAGCGGTGGGGGCAGTCAGGGGCGACTGCAGGCGGCCGCTTCGGGAGCAGAAAGAGATCCGGCCCGACACTCCCGGCTCGGTACCCCAGCTCACCGTGCCTCCGTCCTTAATGATGATCTTTTTGGCCAGCATGATACTGCGGTTCGCGGCCCTTTTCTTCTTCTTCCCCTGGGTCATTTTACCATCCTCGATTCCTGGCGCTGCTGCAGCCACTCCCGGGGCGGCCGGCCCCAGCGGCGAGTGCCGTCCCGCTACTACTGCCGGGCCGAGCCACTCGGGGCACCCGCCGCCATCTTGAGGGCCCGGCCTGCCTCCGGCGGCGCGTCACATCGTGCGATCGGCCGACGAGTGCGCCCCGCCCCGCCCACGTGACGCGCCCCGCCCGCTCGGCCGCCGGGCGGTCGGCGCTGGCACGGAAGCCGGGAGCGAAGCGGGCGGCGCGCGGCAGGGGCCACCTGCGGGCGGGCTGCCTGCGAAGGGAGCCCTATGCCCTTCACTCGTTCAGTCCTCACCGCAGCCCTGGGCGCTGGGGGCCGTGATAGAGCCCCTGACCGAGGAAGACTTGTAATTTTCTGAATGTTACATGCTCGAGGAAATACAGCTGATACACACTTAACACTGGAATTTCAACCAGGCGTCCTCAGCTATTAGGGCTGCTCCCGCTGTGTTCTGACCAACACTGGAACCGAAGGAGACGTTGAAGCAAGTCTTTTTCCAGCAGCACCCTGGCCCCAAATGGGACCCTTTCTTTATTCCCTGCCAGGAAAAACGGATAGAACCTAGGGAGAAGGGGATGACAGAGGATGAGATGGTTGGATGGCATCACCGACTCAATGGACATGAGTTTGGGTAAACCCCGGGAGTTGGTGATGGACAGGGAAGCCTGGCGTGCTGCAGTCCATGGGGTCACAGAGTCGGATACGACTGAGCCACTGAACTGAACTGAGGGCACCCTTTGTAGCCCACTACTTGGATTACCTGGTTGTTTAAAAATGAATTTAATGGGGAAATTGCGAAAAAGGACAGCTGTCACAAGTGGACTATGGACTTCAGATTAAAGTATCACGATGTTAAATTTGACTGTATTGACTGTACTGTAATATAAAAGAATATCCTTTTCCTTAAGAAATATACACCGAAGTCTTAAGGAGTGAAGGAATGTGATGCATGCTCTGCCGCGTGTGTGCGTGCTAAGTCGCTTTAGTCGTGTCTGGCTCTTCGAGACCCTATGGACTGTAGTCGCCAGGCTCCTCTGTCCTTGGGATTCTCCAGGCAAGGATACTGAGGTGGGCTGTCATGCCTCCAGGGAATCTTCCGGATCCATTGATCGATCCTGGGTCTCTTATGTCTTCTGCACTGGCAGGCAGGTTCTTTACCACTAGTGCCACCTGGGAAGCCCGGTGATACATGCTACCTACTCTTAAATAGTTAGGAACTAACATGTATGTATATGTAAGGAGGTATGCGTAGAAGTTTCTTTTACCATTGACTGGCTTGATCTCCCTGCAGTCCTAGGGAATCTCAAGAGTCTTCTCCAACACCAGAGTTTCAAAAGCATCAATTCTGTGCTCAACTTTATGGTCCAATTCTCACATCCATACATGACTACTGGAAAAACCATAGCTTTGACTAGACGGACCTTTGTCGGCAAAGTAATGACTTAGGTCATAAAAGGCTCTGCATCTTCCTGATAGCTCTCTTTTTCATTCACTCAGAACCCAAGTTTAGTGGAAACCAGCTGCCATGTCATGAGGACACTTAAGCAGCCTGTAGGGACATCCTGGTGTTCAGGAACTGAGGCCCCCTATCAACAGATATGTGAGTGAGTCATCTTGGAGTCAGTCCTCCAGTCCTGATCAACGCTGTGGCTGAAAGCAGCCCCTGCTAGTCAGTCCTAGAGGAAATCAACCTTAAATATCCTTTAGAAGGACTGAAGCTGCAGCTGCAGCTGCAATACCTTAGCCACCTGATGCGAAGAACCGACTCATTGGAAAAGACCCTGATGCTGGGAAAGATTGAGGACAGGAGGAGAACGGGGTGGCAGAAGATGAGATGGCTGGATGGCATTACTGACTCAATGGACATGAGTTTGAGCAAATTCCAGGAGACTGTGAAGGACACGGAAGCCTGGCATGCTGCAGTCCATGGGGTCACAAAGAGTCAAATGCGACTGAGTGGCAGGACAATAAGAACCCCTGCCAACATCCTGACTGTGACTTCAGGAAACCCTGAGCTAGGACCACCCAGCTTAGCCACTCCCAGTTTCCTGACTCTCAGAAACTGTAAGATAAAAAAATTACTGTTTTAAGTCACTAAACCTTGGGGTAATTTGGTACACAGCTTTGGTACACCGCTATAGATAACTAATAATAGGGTAAAGGGAATGTGTGTTCTTGGTACTATTATTGCAACTTTTCTGTGAGCTTAAAATTATTTTAAAATGTTAAAAAGTAAATTTGATTGAATTTTCCTATTTGAATAACTGACTAGAAATGGCAAATCAATTTCCATGGAAGGAAAAAGAAAAGCATTTTAGCCTGATACTTCAAGTTATGTGTTCCTATAATAAGTAAACTCAACATTTGTTTTAAAATGTTCTCTTATGGAAATTGAATTGAAACTCCAGAGAAAGTAAGATGAGATAGATTTCATAATTTAAATACCCAGAAGCCTGTTTTGGATGAATGAAGAAGCCTGGTAAGACCATGTTTTATGTGGTTACTCTTTATTAAAATCACCCTTCATCCAGCTGTACCAATTTTATCATCCTAAGAACTGAGTCAGTCATTCAAAAAATATTAGAGTAACTCTGTCTGTCACTGTTTTACTAGACACTGGAGATACATCGATGAATGACATGGTTTTTATCTGCATAGAGCTGAATTACACTGGGGGACAGGCTATAAAACAAACACAAAAGGAAGATAATTAGAAATTGTAGTAAGTGCTGTTGTAAAAAACAAGGTAATAAGAAAAATTTAACACACACTGAATGTCCAGAATGTCCCAGGCATTTTGCTAGAAGAGCTGCAATAGTAAACATGAGAGATGAGGCTTGTTCTAACAGACTTATTGTGAATATATAATTCTTGTGGCTTTATATGTGATTTGGGTCATGAAGATTCAGACTTTACATTGAGAGGTTGACATGTCAGTTAGGGTTCTCTGTGATAGTCAACAGAAGCTAGCATTAGCTAACATAAGCAAAGAGGAATGATTTGAAAGGATATTAAAGTTCCCAAAATTAATGAGAAAGTCAAGAATCAGACTTGAAAACAGGCAAAAACCTATGTTTGGAAAGTTCCTTAGAACCTTTCATGAGAGAAATACCTGGTAAAAACAGCAAGTGGCTGCAGCTAAATATTCCTAAATAAACAAGATTGTGTTACAGAATCCAGCCCCCTAAAGTGAAAGAGAGACCGCTCAGTCGCGTCCGACTCTTTGTGACGCTGTGGACTGTAGCCCACCAGGCTCCTCCGTCCATGGGATTCTCCAGGCAAGAATACTGGAGTGGGTTGCCATTTCCTTCTCCAGTCCCCTAAATGTGCCCTTTATTAAAGAAATTGCATTTTGCCATGTGAACAGAAGAGGGCCTCCTTAACTATGAAAGAGTCACCTCGCTTCTGTAGAACTACCTGTTCTTTAAGAAAATCCTTCCCATTTCACCAAGAACAGAAAAAGCCACCAAAGCCCCACCCCATAAAAGCCTATTCTTTAAAAAAACAAAACACAAAATGACAACTTTTCAGTTAATAGAAAATACTACCCTCTAGAAAATATGAAACAGAGGAAAGCTATGTATCTTACTCCAATATGAATTAAATATCATTAAATAGAGAATCTTTCACATTGCAGATGTGAAAGAATTGAGTTAAAAATTCAACAGGAAGATGAGACTTGAGCAAACTCAGGCAATATACTGAAAAAATAAAATCATCCAAAATGTGAAACCTAAATTACAGGGTTTCTAAAAACATGAAGGTAAGAAACATGGAGGAGAGGAGTAAAATCAGCTATGAAGAAAAATAGAGAAAATAAGGATCAGAAAATGACGTGGAAAAAATTACCTGGGCCTACAGGAAAACAACAACAAACAAAAGCATTTTTTCCAAAGGGGAAAAAAAATCAAGTGGTGCCAGACTTCTTGAAAATAACACCAAGCAACACAGCAATGGAGCAACATTAAAAAAAAAAAACCACAAAACTCAAGGAAACATACTGTGAGCCAAAGATTTTATAGTATATAGTATAGTATGTAGCTGTACTTAAAGTGTCTAGGCTCTAGAAAGTTTAAACATGCTAGAACTTGAGGAATATTGTACTTACAAGCCCTCCTTGAGTACTTAACTAGAAAAGCTCCATCCAGTTTCAAAGAGTTGGTTGGGGAGCCTTTGGCTAAAGTATTGAAGAGTATTAAATGTACTTAAATATGTTTAAGTACATTAAATATATTTATAAAGTATATTAGTATACTAAAATATATTGAATTTTATAACAAACTAGGATGAGAAAAGAGTGAGTCAATGTTTTATGTTCTAAAAATTTCGGATAGAATGAAGGCAACTAAATAAATAGGGGAAGATGGGAGAAAGGAGTAGAATAAGTTTGTTGGTTGTCACAAAGGCAATTAGATGGGAGTCAAAGTATATCATCTAAAATGGCAAAGAGTCTGCCCTGGTGGTCTGGTGGTTAAGTCTCCACCTTGGCATTGTAGGGGACTCGAGTTCCATCCTTGGTTGGGGAACTAAGATCTCACATGTTCTGTGGTGTACATAGGATGGCAAATGATAGTAGAAGCTTGGAAAAGCAAAAAGGGGTCTTTTACAGCATTACATAAAATGTTATCAGTATAAATGTAAACCATTAGAATGTAAAAACCTTTTATGTTCTAAAGATAAAAAGAAATTTTAAAAGCAAGGAACACTCCACATAGTGAAAGAAACAGTAAATACAGCAATATATACACTCATTTATTTTTTAAAAAGAAACACAGGAAAGATAAACTAGCAACTAATGAAAATAATTACCTATAAGAGCTGGTTAGGAATGGAGTAGAAGCATAGGCATGACAGCTAGGTTACTCTGAGTGTACTTTTTTCATAGTTTAACTTTGAGCCATGTAAATGCTTCACATTCAAAAACCATAAAAATTTTAAATAAATACAAAATTGAATACAAACAAAAACAAATGAAATTAGTTATATCACATTTTAATGTAACTATGTAGAGAAAAGAGTAATTTTTTCATTAACTTTTGAACACTGTACTCTGACTACATTTTCTTAGTGGGCTATTATTCTAAGGACAGAGAATTGCAGAGATCTTAAACTTTATTCTGTATGTTTACCATTAGTAATACTGCTATTGTAGTGCTGAAACATAAGCTATAAGTAAAACATATAAGCAATTATGGGCTTCTCTGATAGCTCAGCTGGTAAAGAATCTGTCTGCAATGCAGGGGACCCCAGTTCAATTCCTAGGTCGGGAAGATTCCCCTGGTGAAGGGAATGGCTACCCACTCCAGTATTCTTGCCTGGAGAATCCCAAGGACAGAGGAACCGGGACATCTACAGTGCACGGGGTCGCAAAGAGTCGGACACAACTGAGTAACTAACCACAGCTTACAGCACAAGCAAATACATTTTTACTCAAAACCAATATTTTTACTGCAAGAGAAAAGAGAGGAAAATATAATAAAAAAGCCTGTAATGCTTAAATTTAATTGTAAACATCAGTTTGAATTTCTGAATTCTTAAAAATGTTATTTCCTAGCTATGCCCACTGAAATATGGCCCAGAAACAAATGGGAGTTAAAATTTCATTTCCCCCGAAAAGGAATAGATAGGGCTTCTTGAAGAAATAGCTAATATTCCTCAGGTTTGGAATATGACGCGTATGAGGCACGTCTGGAACATGTTATACGTGAAGAAAGGAAGAATTCAAAGACTAATGCGGTCATGTCTAAAAGATACAGAAGTGCAGTGACTTACACTGGTTTCTGGCTCACGATAGGAACATCAAAAATAACTATGATGTAACTGACTATAATACATTGAAGAACAAAAGCATTGATTCTTGAAAAAAGAGAGAGAGGACTTTGGGGAAAAGGAAGGAGGGAAAATAATCTTTTTATTTTTTTTTTTAATTTAAAAAAAAAATTTTTTTTTTATCAGCAAATTCCTCTCTATGGTAGAAGCATTTATTTCAATTATACAAAAATAACACTATTCCAAACTCAAGGTAACTAAGATGTATATTTTTGCCTTATATACCCATACTCAATGTTACATATGGTTTCAAGACATTCTTAAATTAACAAGAATCAATTTAGAATCAAGGTAGTATCTGTCAATAAAAGAGATGTACTAAGGCTACATATACTGGAAATGGGGAAATACAAAATGATTTCATGCAGTGATTCTCAATTTTAGTGTGCATCAGAATCATCTGGACAGTGGAAAAAGTACCTTTAGGAGACTGAAGGCAAATCACCAGATTAAGTAAACCCTCGGTCTCAGAATAAATACCAAAACGACTGACTAAAGATACAAACTTTGTTTCACAGGGAAGAACAAAGACAAAATACATCATGGTATATGAAATCAGTCATTTAAGTGAAGTGTGAATTCTCTAAGCCTCAGGTTCAGGAATACTACTACTCTCAAGACTTTTTCTACAGATTAGGTCAGGTAGTGTGCAATAGTGCTTCCCTAATTCATAAAACACCACTACTATCATTATTTCATCACCATCAATACTATTGGATACAGAGGACATTCTCCCCCACCCCCACTCCCAGTTCCAAATAGTTATTATCTATTTTAAAAATCAAATGACCACTTACTGGGTTCCAGTTCATTGACTACTGGCACCATTTTTAAACTGGTAACATTCTTACTAGCTTCAACCAAGTATATTAAGATTTCAGTACATGGTTGAAATGACAATTTTTGTCTAAACTACTGGCTTAGTCAATGGAGTCACAGAAGAAAGCATAAAGTTTACAAAAATGTGTGCTGTTTCTAAAGCACCAAAGGCTAAACAAATGAACTGCTTTGGAAAGTAACCCACTTTAGACAACCTCTGATGTTGCCTATATAGTTTTCTGACTCTCATATTATATACAGATGGAAACAAAGGAATAAAACATCTATAATCTTCATCACTTCCTATAGTCGATATACTATACAGACTCGATGGGCATGAGTTTGAGTGAACTCCAGGAGTTTGTGATGGACAGGGAGGCCTGGTGTGCTGTGATTCATGGGGTCGCAAAGAGTCGGACACGACTGAGCTACTGAACTGAACTGTTTCATAGTTAAAGTTTTGGGCCAGTTAAGTAATTCCCACATAAATATCTGTGGTTTTAACATTCTGAAACTGAAACATAGCTAAAGAGGTGCTCAGTCAGGCTAAGACAGGGTTCTTCCATTTCAGCAATATTGCTATTTTGGTTTTGATCTTTTTTTTTTTGGTGGAGAGGAGGGTGGAAACTGTCCTGTGCATTGCAGGATGTAGGCATCCCTAGCCTCTACCTACTGCATGCCAGGAGCAATGTGCCCAACTTTCCAATTCTGACAACCAAAAAATGTTGCCAGATATTGCCAAATGTCTTCTGGGGGCCAAAGTCACCCCCAGTTGACAACTACTGAGCTAGAATTTTATACAGACATAATTGTAAACTCTGAGTCCATAGATTATGCAAGACTGTGTGTAATTTTACTAATTTAAAGAGTATAGTACAACAATTTCTGCTATACTGTTTATGCTAGGGCGCATAGTTTTCCTAGAAGACTTAAGCATATAATTACCCACAAATAATCATCTTTTTCCTATGGAAAACACTAATGTTAAACAGGGGAAAAAAACAACAATACAGCTAATCCTGCAACCATTTTTAAACCTAAACCTATGGTTTACAAATATTTGATAAAATGGAGACCTAGATAAATCACTGCAAATGTCCTTCCTTCTGAATTCGTAGTCTCTCTTTCTCTACTTGTAAGCGTTCCTTTTCAATCTGCAGCTTCTCTGATTCAAATTTCAAAAACTGCAGCCTATCTTTTTCCAGTTGTAAGCGTTCTCTCTCAAGTTTTAACTTCTTGGTTTCTATATCCTGTGGTTGATGTATGGACTTTTCCCCTTGACCAAGTTCACTTTCCAAAGATGGCTTCTCTGAGCTGACTATATGTAATCTCAGCTTCTCTCTTTCAATCTGCAACCGCTCCTTTTCCAGCTGAAGTCGCTCATGCTCCATGTCTAAATGTCGCAGCCTCTCTTTCTCAATCTGTAGGCGTTCCTTCTCTACCTGCAGTCTTTCAGCCTCAATATCAAGCCTTCGTTTTTCCAATTCTAGTTTCTGTTTCTCTATGTTTACAAGCAAATGGGGCTCATCATATGCAGACCTAGACGGTGTTGAGTTCAGAGTAAAAAATTCATCAATGTGGGGGAAATCAGGAAGTTCATTTTCCCTCCTGGAATCTGGTATGACTGATGACAACATTTCTTCTTCCTCTTCGATCTCAAATTCAGGACTCTGGGGATCTCTTTCTTCCTCTTCCACCTTGACCTCAGTTAAGGAACCACCTGCATCCCTGAAATCTGCCACATTTTGCCAATCAAAATTTGTATCACTTCAGAATCCAATCTTTTCATCTATCTCTTCAGTGAGAGAGTCATCTAAATCAGATGTGGGTAAGGGAAACCCTGAACCAACTAGCTTAATGTTCGCCTTCATCTTCTTTCTCTTCATAAGGGCTCGCCAGTCAAGGTACCTTCTTTTCACTTCTGTCCCTGTTCTCTGCTCTCCTCTACAGCATTCACACACTGTGCAATCTCCTCCCAAGCCATTCGCTTCATCACATTAATTGTTGTATTGAGTTGCTTGGAAAAAATTACTTCTTTCCTTTTCGTAATTTCTTTCAAAAGGGTCTGAGTTTCTTGTACACTGAAATTGCTTTTCCTTTTCCTCTTCAATTGCTTCATTTTCTAACTTAAATGTAGTTTTTACAGTAAGGAAAAATGTGAAAAGAATTTGAGGAATGCTACAAAGAACAAAAATCAAGGACAATTCCTTGTAAGTACTTTGTTTAAATCAAAGTTTTCCATTCATCTAGTAGCACAGGCAGGCTGGATGATTCTGATCACTGCTATAGAGCTTCTTTTTTCCCTCCTTTACAAAATGAGAGGGTAGGCTGAGAAGGTGCCTTCCAGCTCTATCATTGTAGGATCATAAACATTTCCTGCTCCAAAAGCAGTATCTTCAATACATAACACTGTGCCTGCAGGTCGGGCGGCGCCTCACCGCCGTCGCCTCTGGGGTGTGTGAAAATAATCTTTTTAAAATAGAGAACAAACTAATAAACGTAAAAGAAAATTAGAGAATTTGAAAAAAATTTGTTTTTTGAGAATTAAAAATTTTAAACCATCATTTTGCACCTCAATGTGATAAACGATTCAATTAAGATCATCAGTTGATGCTAGAGACATTAAATAAAAGGCTGTTAGAAAAAAGAACATTCTCATGGTGCCAAAATATTACCCTAAAGAATACTATTACTAAAGGGAGAAAACTGACCTTTACAATGGAAAGATCTGTTAGTCATAATCTTAACTGCACAATTATCATCAATAATGAGACAATCTAGAATTGCGTGTCTTCTGATATGATACAATATAAAGCCTATAAGATAATCCATTAAATGCTTTCAAAAAACATTTAACCTGAATTTAATCAAACCTATAGACTTCCAGTTCAAAGGAAATGCAAATAAAGAAAACAAATCAAGTATATAGACAGACCAAGGACAGATGTCAAGTAACTTAGATTCTTCAAAAAGTCACGACAGGGAAAAGAAGCCATCAGGGTGCGAGGAAGCCTCTTCCAGGCTGAAAGAGACAAATAGAAAGTATGAACCTTACTGAATAGGTCACAACAAGAAAAACCCTAGAAAAGTTCATTTTTGAGACAATTGGAAATATCTGAATATAAATATAGATGGTACAATCAATTTAAATTTTCTTAAGTGTGACAGTGGGATTGAATTTAATTAGAAAAAATGTCCTTATTTTAGGAGTAAAGTGTCCTGATAAAGCTAGTATGCAAAATGTTAATAATTGTTGAGTTCAGGTGGAAGGCAAATGGGTATACCATTATTTCAACTTTCATATACTTAAAACTTTTTTTTTTTAAATGAGAAGCTGATGAAAATTTAAATAGAAAAAAAAAAAAGGTCTTTAACAATGCTTACTTTGTGAGTGCCTAAAGATAACCCAGGGCTTCGCTGCTGGCTCAGATGGTAAAAGAATTTGCCTGCAATGCAGGACACCCGGGTTCAAAACCTAGTGGAGGTGATGGAATTCCAGCTGAGCTATTTAAAATCCTAAAACATGATGCTGTGAAAGTGCTGCATTCAATGTGTCAGCAAATTTGGAAAATAGCAGTGGCCACAGGACTGGAAAAGGTCAGTTTTTATGCCAATCCCAAAGAAGTACAATGCCAAAGAATGCTCAACTACCGTACATTTGCACTCATTTCACAGGCTAAAAGGTTATATTCAAAATCCTTCAAGCTAGGCTTCAGCAGTATGTGAAGTGAGTTTTCAGATGTACAAGTTAGCTTTAGAAAAGGCAGAGAAACGAGATTTCAAATTGCCAACATCCACTGGATCAGAGAAAGCAAGGAAATTCCACAAAAAGTTCTGCTTCACTGACTAGAGAAAGCCTGAAAGCCTCTGACTGTGTGAATCACAACAAATTGTGGAAAATTCCTAAAGGGATGGGAATGCCAGACCACCGTATCTGCCTCCTGAGAAACCTGTATGCTAGTTAAGAAGCAACAGTTGGAACCTTATATGGAACAGACTGGTTCAAAATTGGGAAAGGAGTAAGACAAGGCTGTATATTGTCACCCTACTTATTTAACATATGCAGAGTACATCATGCGAAATGCTGTGCTGAATGAATCACAAACTGGGATCAAGATTGCCCAGAGAAATATCAACAACCTCAGATATGCAGTTGATACCACTCTAATGACAGACAGCAAAGAGAAACTAAAGAGCCTCTTGATGCAAGTGAAAGAGGAGAGTGAAAAAGCTGGCTTAAAACTCAACATTAAAAAAACTAAGATCATGGCATCCGGTCCCATCACTTCATGGCAAATAAAAGGTGAAGAAGTGGAAGCAGTGACAGATTTTATTTTCCTGGGCTCCAAAATCACTGCGATGCAGCCATGGAATTAAAATTCGCTTGCTCTTTTGAAGAAAAGCTATGACAAACCTAGACAGCATATTAAAAAGCAGAGACAGCACTTTTCTGACAAAAGCCCGTATAGTCAAAGCTATGGTTTTTCCAGTAGTCATGTATGGATGTGAGAGTTGGACCATAAACAAGGCTGAGTGCTGAAGAACTGATACTTTTGAACTGTGGTGCTGGAGAAGACTCTTGAGAGTCCCTTGGACAGAAAGGAGATCAAACTAGTCAATTCTAAAGGAAATCAACCATGAATGTTCATTTGAAGGACTGATGCTGAAACTCCTATACTTTGGCCACCTGATGCGAAGAGCCAACTCTTTGGAAAAGACCCTGATGCTGGGAAAAGTGAAGTCGCTCAGTCATGTCTGACTCTTTGTGACCCAATGCTGGGAAAGATTGAAGGCAAAAGGAGAAGAGAGCGGCAGAGGATGAGGTGGTTAGATAGCATCAGCATCACTGACTCAATGGACATGAATTTGAGCAAACTCCAGGAGATGGTGAAGGACAGGGAAGCCTGGTGTGCTGTAGTCCACCGGGTTGGAGTTGAACATGATTTAGTAGCGACTGATGAACAACAAAAAGGTAAAGGATACAAAGTAATGGAAATTTGGGGCATTGTGTGTGTGTGTGTGTGTATAGTTGTTGTTTAGTCGGTAAGTTATGTCCAACTCTTTTGCGACCCCATGGACTGCAGCCTACCAGGCTCTTCTGTCCAAGGGATTCTTCAGGCAAGTATACTGGAGTGGGTTGCCATGTCTCTCTCCAGGGGATTTTCCCAACCCAGGGATCACACTTGCTTCTCCTGTATTGGCAGGCAGATTCTTAGGGAAGCCTATATATATATATACACACACACATATGTATATATAAAACATCCAAGGTGAGCTTCAGATTTTAAAATTTTAGAATTCATAGCAGTATTTTAAGTCATAAACTCATCTGATTTTCTGTAATCCTATCATCACCCAAGAAACATTACTGTTGTTACAATATTTTAAACCTATTGAAGCACAGTGCATATATTAGAAAAAGGTGCTTAGTGTAATTTTTAATGGCTGTATTTACTATCCAAGCAGAATAAAGTAAAATGAAACATAAAACTTCAGCCTAAGGAGAGAACTTAAATCCCCAATTATTAGAAATTGTTTTTGTATATACAATGTCTTTTAAGAAACAGCAAACACAGAAACCCACATCCACAGATTTTGTTTAAAATATATAAGTGAAGTCTGATTTAACACATTTAATTAAACCTTTTAAATACTCTATGTTTAAAGTATGTCTTAACAAGAGTGCATTTTCAGATGATTACCCCCAAAACACTGTAACAGCATTCATTATTCTTTTAAATCCTTAGTGAGTTTAATTTAAAAAAAGGATGAAAGTGTATATCTCAGGTAAACTATTTTCAAAGGAATATCATTACTGTTTAAAGAAGTTATTTTAACATACCAGAGACCCTAAATAAGTAAACATAAATAAATGCATAAATGAAAAAACCTGGTTAGACCTAATGGAGGTTTGATACTTAACACCAATTAAAGATGACTGGAAATGTGGAGCTATCAGTTAACAGTGAGGGTCTATTATGAGCCATCCTAGCAATTGATACCAATTTTATTCTGTGAACTCCTCCTCAGAGTAGTGATGGCTAATGGTAATTTAAAATTAGCTCAGGAAACACCCTTCTAGTTGCTAGATGGGATGCTGTTCATGAATTGCCAAAAAAGCCAATTAGATCTTCAAAATAAATACATAAATAAAATTAGCTCAAAATTGTACATAAATATACAGCATAGGTTAAATTTATAAATTTTAAAATTTGTCTTTTAATTATCCCATTTAATAAAATTGTCATTAAATATCAGAACTGAAAACTAAATAAATAATACAAGTGCTACTTAGCATTGTATCTGATTGTTTTTCTACCCTTCAGTCGTGTGTTCAGAAGCATCTGACAAAATTTCTGAAATTAAAAATGACAATGTGTAAAAGTCTTTATGAGCTTCACAGGTGGAGCTCGTGGTCAAGAACCCACTTACCACTGCAGGAGACATAAGAGACACAGGTTCTGCTTGCTAGGTTGGGAGGAACCCTTGGAGTGGGGCATGGCAACCCACTCCAGTATTCCTGCCTGGAGAATCTCACCGACAGAGGAACCTGGTGGGCTACAGTCCACAGGGTTGCAAGAGCTGGCCATGACTGAAGCGACTTAGCATGCAGCGTGCACAAGTCTCTATAAACAGTTGTCATTGCTTGTGTCATTCTCATCAATTCAGAAAAATGTGTTATTAGTGACGAATGGTAAGGAATTTGGTCTTACCCAAAAAAAGTTCTGGCCTACATCCTCAGGAGGTTTCAGCAGACGTGTCGCTGTTATTCATGTTGGGCTCCTCAAATTACACAGGCTAATTTATGGGGTCTGCTACTTCTCCGGGGAGATCAGGGCTGGAGAGTGAGTTCAATTATGTGATCAAAGAATCAATCAAGCATGCCAAATACTAAGACTGTGGTAAAAATATGAAAACAAGAGCATGGGTGAATTTTCCCAGTTGGCAGTACTCTGCATGGAGTATCATCGATTTTAGCTAGGAGTATATATACAGCATTGTCCAAGGCTTCACCAGGAGTGGACAATTGGAAAGGATGACTGGAATTTAGACCCCTCCTTATCTCTGTCCAATGTTCTCTTCCTTTGTCTGGTTCTAATTTGTATCCTTTCTCTGGAATAACTATGATTGTGAGTATAATAGCTTTCAGTGAGTTCTGTCTTTCCAGTGAATTATTGAACCTAGGTGAATTTGGGAAACCTCTGAATTTATAGTCACCAAGACACTCTACAATAGTAGAATTTCAAATCTTTGGGATTTGAGGACAGTTTATTTCCTCTTATATTTTCACTTCTAGAATGTGTAGGTAATCCTGCTTTGAAAAAAATTCTCTTTAAGAACAGTAAGAAAGACAATCGTGATTACTAATACTGGTCACTATTATGAAGCATATTTGCATAGCACAGGATTCAAGAATTTTGATATACTTTCAACAGAAGTATTCCAATACAAATATAAAGATGTTCAGTTGGTGCTCCTCATGTAGTTAGAATTCCACACTTCCACTGCAGGGGGCATAGGTTTGATCCCTGGTTGGGGAACTAAGATCCTGCAAGCCATGCAACACAGCCAAAACAATAAATTATGAAGAAAATATATACCAATTACTATAATCTCTTAACTTTGATGCTATCAAAAGAGATAATTTGTTTAAAGCAAAAAGTTTTAGACTGTTACAATCATACAGGTAGAGAAATTCTAACTAGTTTAAATAAGATCCAGTCTTTCACACTATAGCATAGTAAAAAGGAAGATCACATACATGATAAAGGTAACCAGAGAGGCAGGAAAGGGCTCAGGGAGTCATTTTTGATATATGGAAAGACTAATTCATGGTTAAGTCAGACACAGGTGAATAGGAAAAAAGGAAATATAGGAAAAAATTTACATAGTTATGAAAATAATCTATTTTCAGAAATCTAGAGAAAAGAAAATAACTGGATACCAAAAAATGACAAAGAGAAATTTATCAATTAAAAAGCCATTTAAACAAAAGACCAATTTATACATTCTTTTGAATTATGTCCATAAAAAATTTAAATATACAAATCACAACCCCAAACCCAAAAGAATCTTTCTAAACAAATGAAATACATATAATGACAAATGTGGAATCCAGATCATTTAAAAAATATTTTAAAAATCACAGTAAATTTTATCTTATAATAAGAAAAAAATCAAAATGAGAGTTATATACAATTGTTAAAGTTTCAAAAGTTCAATGATGGAGCAATGGTACCATAATTTCTTTAAATAAGTTCTATTTACTAATATTTGTACAATATACCTATTTCAATATTCTGTTAGATAATGAATTTAAATAGCAAATGTTGAAACAATGAAAACATTGAATTATAGTTATTCTTAAAACATCCTAATTTTGCCTATGTGTCCAAAATTGTGAATTACAGTAATATCCTCAAGAAAAGCCGGGTATTTGGTAAAGCAAGGCACACAGGACCAGATTTTGATGAAGGTGCTTTTTCTTTGGTCCTACAAATACTTTATATAAGCTACATATCTGGGAGATTCTTAAGATGACTTTCAATATAGCATAAATAACTTTTATAAACTTTTTATCATGTAGAGCATACATTCACATGTAATTAAATATTACAGTAACGAATGTGTAAATAAAATGAGTGATGCTAAACCCTATTTTTAAATACAAAATTCAGATGAGTGACTATACAATGACATGTTAAAGTTTAATAATCTGATATGTAGGAAAAGTTTATCAATTCTTAGGAATAGTCTTATTACACTAGGTCTACTAAGCACAAAGTCAATTAGTTTCCACTCAGATTCTGTCTCCTTGGAATCTAGTTTAAATATCAAATCACCTTTCCTTCTATGAAACTGTGACATTCAATATAAATTGATGTAAACATTCAAGTTTTGCATGTCTAAACTACATTTTCCACTGTAAAAGTAGTCTACGACTTCTCTAAAAATCACTTATTAAAGAATTGGTAATATTACCGTGTTGATTACATCTATATGTTGCATTTCAAGCTTTTCTTCCAAAATACCATAGTTTTAAAGTTTTGTAGAACTATCAACTGGCACTCTTCTCCCATGGGTTAGCACGTTTCTTTAAAACGAACAAAATTGTTGAGAGATAAATGTAAACTTTAAAAAGTATAAGAATTTAAATAACCAAGGAATCATCATTATAGAAGGGTGACATAATAAGGCTTTTGGAGATCATTAAAACACACACCACACAGAAGAAAATGGCATCATGTGTACATATGACATGATCTAGGACACGGGTCCACTGTTTCAAATATGGTTATTTCTTTATGAATCAAAAACTATAGACTATACAACCAATTCTCTATTCCAACCTACTAGAAAAGCAAAATATAAATTATGCTTGTCTAATAAAAGTTTGCTTTGAGAATATACTTTAGACTATTTTGCCCATTCTCCGAACTCTTGACTACACTTTATAAACTTTGGAGGGAATCTTGAAAGTTGTGTTTTTGTATAATTTTTTGAAGTGTTAAAATTGGGAGAGACTAAACTTGAATTCACAACTAATGATTAATGCATACCAGATTAATACATAAGTACCCAACACTTCAGTGTAAGCTGAACATAAATCTTTATATTTAGTCTTGAATTCTCTGCATTACAGGATTTAGATTTCTTAGCATTAAGTAGTAAATGTAAATCTGAATGTTGTTATAGTCTAAAAACACCATTCTCAAATTGTAGTAAAGTTATTTAATAAATACTCTTTTTTTTAATCAAATACTGCAGTACTGATTTAATCAGTATAAAATTGAAAGAGCTTTAGATCTGTAATAAAAATACTCTAAAAAGTAGTCACTGCAAAGTGTAAGTCAGAGTTCCAGAAAGTTTGCTTGATACCAATTTGGAATTACCAGCAAATTAATGTAAAAATACTTTTTAATTTTAAGCATTTCTAAAAACTCTGTATGGAATATATTAGGCCTGTGTCTTGCTGAGACTAGGTTTGCCTCAGCAATGTAACACAGCCAGTCCTAATTAGCCGAGACTAGCCAACAGACTGTAACATTGTATTTCAGCCAAATTTTAACAAAATCCATTAGAATTATATAAAAATATTTATTTTTTACAGTTTTTATACAATTAGAACAGGAGACTTTTAAAAATACATAATGCATAAAGGAAAAAATAAAGTACAATATTTCTATACACAATAGGAAATTATGTCTCTAGTCAACAATAAATTAAACCCCTGTTTCAATTTTAGAAAGTAATTGTGCCCTCCAATTCATTTATCATTTCTGCTATATTTTCTCTCCCTAAACCATAACTCATGTAATTTGCAATCTCAATTCCAGTGCTAATCAAATGGAAAAGAAATGGAAAATAAACCACTACTGTAAAGCAAAGTTGTGGCTCTTTCTTGGCAGCTTTTGTAAGGTCACAAAAGGGAGTTCAGAATTTGGCTGCCTCTCTCAGACATTTGATCAGAATATTCCTAGGAATGGTGGGTTTATGAGAGGCCTAGAAAGTTCTTCTGAACATTTTGAATTTATAGTTATAGTGCCATTTAAAATATATCATGGCAATCTGGAATGTCTAAGTCATTCTGGTCTCAATTTATTGATGTCTATACTATCATATATTTGGTTGTTTTGTCATCAGTTATAGATCAATGAATAAAATCGTCATCTAAAAACGCTCTAGTTGTGTAGAGTATATGCTCTGATAGTTTAAAATTCTCCAAATGGAGACATTAGACAATAATTATTATTTTAAATTATTAAATGAGTATTTAACCCCGTTAAATTACATTTTAAAACTTTAATGGAAATTAACACAGAGAGAAATTTATTTTAAAGTAATATTAAGGATTTATCCAATTTACAGAAAAGAAATACAATTAAGAGATAAAGGACAAACTCCATTAATGTAAAAGCCACTGGCTACTGTCTCGCGTAGGAAAGAATGGATTGCATTCAGCAGTTTCAAAGCACTAAAGAGGTCTTAAAGTTTAGATGGAGAAACAGATGTGTATATTTCTTTAAATTAAATTTAAATATGAATGTTATTCTCTGACAAATCAGACCCAGAAAGTTACTTTATCAAGTTTTATGCATTTGAACATTTGCAACATATAGCAATCCTTTGTTTAGTAATCTTCTGTATAAATATAAAAATCTGAGATATGTGAAAATGTTTTTCAAATCATACTTATTTCTTCACAGCTTTATAATTATAATGTTCAAACTTTGAATATCATGTCATTTGATATATCTGTACAGAAAGAATAAGATAAAAAACATTTAATAAAATTAAATATATATAATTTGCAAAATTGATGTCTGACACTTGCTGTGTGCTGTTTCAAAGAGTGCATAGGATATTTCTGCAGCAATCAAAAACATAGTATCTTTTTAAAAACTCAGATTTTAAATTTCCTCTAGTAATTATTCTAATCCCTGGAAATACTTTCAAGTTTTGATTTTTATATGCAATAGGCATTTTGTTACATATATGTATATTTCATCCTTAAACTTTTATATTTTCAAACCATTTGAACATTATGATCAGATTTCAGCATGATGATTTTCTCTCAGAATCTGTAGAAGTCCCCGTGCAGCATTTAATGTTGAGATTCCCAGTGCACCATTGTGAAAAACCAGATAAATTACCACTATGCTTTAGTGGGATTTCCTGCAGGTTTGGGATCATAACCATATAGGAAAGTAGCTGTTATTACAAGGATGGCTCCAAGGAAAAAGACACTAAATAGATGAAGAAAAAATGAAAAAGAGAAAATCAGATTAAAAACAACAAAAATTATATTTCTTTACTATAAAATACAAATATAATTTGGGAAAAAATGTTCCAATAACATGGCTAACAATACTAAGTGGTTACTAGGTTCCAGATATTCAGCTAGGTGTTTTACATGCATTATCTCATTTAGTTCTCAAAACAACTTTATGAAGAAGGACTAGCATTGCCCTCATTTGTTAATATATGAAGAAACAGGTTTAGATAATTTAAATAATTGTCTTAAAGTCACACAGCTTGAAGCAGAAAATGGGATTCAAACTTAGGTATGTCTAACTCTAGAGCCAAACCTGCACTTCCATCCACTGTGCTATAATGTTGTGTTTCAGCTTTTTTTAAAACCATTTTTAAAAACTGTAGTTAATTTACAACATTTTGTTAGTTTTGGGTATACAGCAAAGTTATTCAGTTAGACATGTATGTGTATATAAAGTGTTTCATTTTAATATGCCTTTTGCCTACAATACATTGAAGACTAACAGATTTCAATTTTTTAACAAAATTTAAAAATACACAGGGAAAACTGCACTCTTTTCAAACCAAAGTTCAGTTTAAAATCAAAGGTAGTAATAAATAAAACTCAGGACTAATTTTTATAGTAGTAGTGTTAGTTGCTCATTCATGTCTGACCATTTGCAACCCCACAGACTGAAGCCCGCCAGGCTCCTCTGTCCATGGTATTCTCCAGGCAAGAATACTGGAATGGACTGCCATTCCCTTCTCCAGAGGATCTTCCCAACTCAGGGATGAACCCTGCATTGCAAGCAGATTCTTTACCATCTGAGCTACAGGGAAAATCAGTTTTTATAGGATGCTTTAAAAAAGGAATAGATTAAGTGCAAAAAGACTTGGTTTCCTCTTTATCTATCCATATATGTAATATACCTTACTATAAACTATAAATGAATAGGAACTGGTACTGGAACTTAAACTGAACATAAACTAGAATATTCTCGGAAGTGCTATTACAGGGATATGAATTAGTCTTGTTTTTAAAGTTTTTATTAACAGTTATGATTTAAAGTCCCTTCATAATATAGTCCTTCCAGTCTTATCTCCCACACTCCACCCAACCCCATCTATAATTCAGCCACTCCATTTAGGGAACACAACATGCCTTTCAGGACACTGTCTTTATAGATGTTATTCCTCTGCCTGCAATGTCCCTCCCAAGAAAACTGCTTATTGAACAACTCAGGTCTAAAGTCTCTAAGACTAACTCCCCCTAAGCAAAGTTACTCTGTGGTAACACTTTATCACACTATAGCAAATAATGTGATATTTATATTCTGCCCCTCTGTTCACCCATGTGTTCCTCATTCATCATTATATTCCTAAGAACCTAGCATATATAGGGAGCTTAGTCACTACCTGTTATGATACGTCTAGTGTTGACTTGCTGCAGATGGGCAACTTTTCAAAAGCCTTGAATACAAGTATATGTATACAGTTAAGAGAACATAAAACTTCCTATAATGTATCCTGAAGAAAATTACTACCACAAGAATATTTGGTTAACTACTTAGACTCTGACTGAGCACTATTTTGGTCAATCTAATGAGCTTTTCCTAGCTTTCCAGAAACCTGGAATTGTATAAAATCACATGCTCAGTTGGAAAGTTGTCTGATCCAACTTTCTAGGAATCCATTCTATGATATCTCTAACAGGATCTACAAGAATATCTATTACTATCAGGAAACCCCTGCTTTCCCAATCCAGCTATTTTTAGATGGCTCTGAGAGAAAAAAATTTTAAGGAAGAAGATACCAGAATTTAATACTTAAAGGATTTGCAGCCCCTCTTTCTAATGGATTGTGTATATACTTCCATTGCTGCATTGATCATCGTTATAATTTATTCTCATGTCTGTTTCTTCAATCACTGTGACCTCCTTGAAGATATTCCTATTTCTCTACGATCTTCTAGTACACTGACAGACACAGAGTGGAAACAATAAATTTTTGATAAAAGAATAAGCAAGTCTAAATACAAGGATGGTAACACAAACAAGCAAAATAATGAGCACCTAAAAACAGGAAAGGGAATACTGGTGATAGGATATCAGCAGAGATGTCAAGCAGCCAGTTGAAAATAGGAATCTGGAGTTAAGGTGAAGTTGGGACTCATCTTCATAGAGAGGACAGGTAAGCCATGACAGTAGATAAGATGGATAAGAAAGTGAGTGAGAACTGACAGGTTACCAAAGGAACAATCAGAAAAGTAGGTACAGGGGTCAAGGGTACTACTGAGAAACCAAAAAACTGTTTCAGTAGGTGAAATGGGGATAACTGAGGAAAATATTACACTCAGAATACAGATCTTTGCATTTATTGGATAATGGAAGTTTTCCACAAAAGTAAAAATACATAAAGATGGAGGGCTTAGCTATCTAGTTCAGGAAGAATAACCTATCTCCTCCATCTAACATGGTGTCCTATGTATATTCTCAAAACATTCATTCATTCAATAATAACAGTATCATTGTCTTTTCTCCTTTTATCTTCATCCCAACATAACCCACAGGCTCCCTCAGAAACATGGATTTACACATGCAAGTATGTACCTTACTAAAAAAACTCCTACTCTTTTGTTCCTCCGCTTGTTTACTTGTTTATTTACTTATTTTATTCCCTGCATGATTCAAAGATTTAAAGTTATCACCTTGGCCTTATATGAGGTTTTATTTTTTTTTTAAGGTATGCCTTTTTAAGTTACCCTTAAAATCTACAAGTACTAAACATTCTCAACTAATATTAAAGCATGTAATTTCCCCCATTTAATAGGTAGGGTGTTCAATGTTGTATCTAGTCACTAAGTCGTGTCTCACTCTTCTGAGACCCCATGGGCTGTAGCCTGCCAGGGTCCTCTATCTAACGGATTTCCCAGGCAAGAATACTGGAGAGAACTGCCCCTTCTGTCTCCCGGGGGTCTTCTCACCCAGGGACTGAACCCAGGGCTCCCACACTGCAGGAGACTCTTTACTGCTGAGCCATGTGGGAAGCATGCCACGTGAATACATAGGGGATGAGTATTCCAAGAATAAAGGGCAAATCAAAGCCCATAGCAAAAAGGTTAAAAGGAAAAAAAAGGTCAACAAGAGGTAAGTAATGTCAGATGAGGTTAGAAAGATAGCTAAAAGCCAAAGCAAATAGGCCACTGATGGTGACAACTTTTGAGTGAAGTGGGAAGCAATTGGAAGGTTCCTGAGTACACTGATTTACATTGAAAAGAATCATTCTGCTTACTAAATGGGGAAAATTCAGAGACACAGGTGAAGATAAGAAGCAAGGAGGCAAGTCAGGAGACTATTTCCTTAATCTAGATGATAAATGAGGGTGACTTGGATCATGATGATAGCATTAGAGGTTGTGAGAAACTGTCAGATTCTGGTGATATTAAAAAGGAAGAGTTAATAGGATTTGTCTCTGCGTTAGAATGACACGTGAGAGGACAGTAAAGAGAAGCTGATGACCTTACTTCACTGAGAAAATAAAAAATGTTCATACATTTTAACTTTCTCTTATAAAACTATCTATGTCCATGTCTACAGACTCTGCCTCCAAAGAAGGATAAATTGTGTTCCTAAGTTAAAAGGATTTTGGCCCAAGCAACTGAAAGAATGAAGGTATGTACAACAAATTGAGAACCCTGACAGAGATGGGGAATGAGTTATCTAGTAGACACTGAAGAGAAAATAGACAAATAGACAATTATATATAAAGGCCTGGAATTCAAATTTAAATTTGAAGTTATTAGCCTATAAACAGTATTTAAAGTCATGAGAATAAAGATCACCAAGGAAGTGAGTGCAGATATAAGCCCAACGACGAATGAAGACAGTATTTCAAAGTTTAGAAAATGAGAAGATGAAGAGGGAGTGAAGTTACAGGAAACTAAGGATGGTATCCTAGAACTCATTAAAATATAATCTCATTACCCTGGGATTACAAGTTAATAATTATAAATAAAATAGAACTTTATTTTATACTTTATTCTTCCTCACTCTGTCTTCTCTCTTGGTATCCATGACACTACACAGTCCTGGGTCTCCTGCTTCACCCATTATTCCTTTAGCAATTCTCTAGACTATTTTTCTCCCTAAAAAACTTTCTCATGAGCCACCTTTTCAAGGGTGACTCAAATTATCTTATAAACAAATTATCTTCTTCAAGAATGTCACCTCCTTTCCTGGCTTAAGCTATATAAATTCTTTAAATGACTTTATATGACTTAATAATTTTTAAAAATACGACTTTTAACTTTTGGGGAAAGACCCCATTCAGATCTACTGGGAAAATTCTGGCCAGCCAAACTGTATAAAAAAACTGTTCAGTGTTAGACTTTCTTTCATGCATTTAGTTTTGAAACCCTTTTAAAAAGATAGTTAAATAAATCTTACTATATTTCTTTAAAAGCTGTGATAGAACAAAATTTTTCAGATCATATCATATGAAGGACTCATTTTTCTAAATAAGATCTAAAGAAACAGAAAAGAATACACTACCTGGTTGGTACAAAATCTTGTAGCCAAAAATAAGATATCAGTGTTGATAATATTATGGACAGAGAGGTTGCAAATCCTTTCAAAATGTTATCCGCATACTTAATAACAGCAGCTATCACAAGGCCTCCCAGTGCCTGCAGAAGTTTTAAAAAATAATTTTTAAAAATAGACACATATAAAACTGCTTTTCAAAATACTTTTTTGTCTTATAATCTAATCCCATTAAATAAGTGATTTTTATGAAACATTTTGTAACATATGAGCATCTAGGTTTTGTTCAATAGACTCTCTATTTCAAAAGGTATCAGATAAAATAACTACCAGCAGAATCTGCAGTTTGCTATAATGGAGTTTGACCATATTATGAATAAAATATCTATCCTCATCCAATTTAGTAATTAAACATCACTTCTTCAGACAAATGTGGGAAGACTGAATACTCTGATTAGTGAAATATTTTTATTTTTGATTAAAAATAAAATGTAACTTTATATTTTACTAGCCTTTTAATTGCCTAACTTGGCTTTCTTCCTCGAGTTTCTTCCCATTCTAATCTACCTTTCAAATTGCTCTCAGAGTACTCTTCCTGAAGCACTTCAATCATTCTCTTTAAGAGTGTAGAAGGAACTTTCTGCCAAATCCCTCTCAAAGTCCAAACTGTGGCTACTTAAATAATGGTTTTACCATATCTCATAGTTTTGTTTTCTACCAAACCCTGGAGAAGGGAATGGCAACCCACTCCAGTATTCTTGCCTGGAGAATTCCATGGACCCAGGAGTCTGGTGGGCTACAGTCCATGGAGCCGCAGAGAGTCAGACACGACTAAGTGACTTTCACTTCACTTCACCAAACTCTACGTATCAACTCCCAAATCTGAGTTACCCACTTTCATTGCACCTCTTCAAATGGTAAAAGCTTTAAGAGAGAAAGTCACAAGTTATGCCAATGAGCTCACTATAAATTGATGTTTCAGTCCTGTTATTCTTGGCAGTGCTCTCATTCTTCTATTTTCTCCCTCATACCAACTGTACCAAAACTTTTAAATTCTTCTCAAGTCTGTAGTTCCTTCTTAAGGAAGGAGAGCTTTCCTCCTCAACAGGATAAAAGCCATCATAAAATCTTTCTCAAATTTTCTCTGAATTTTCACTTATCCCCATCTCCTTTTCTCTTATCTTAAAAATAGAAGTATCCTTCCTGCTTTCAAAACAGTTATCCTTTGCTACCTTCTTACCCATCTTCCCTAAGGGACTTTCAGCTTCAAATATCTCTAGAGAAAGGCTTTGTGAAGGCAGAGACTTGTATCTTCATTTTTGTTTCCTCCAGAGTACTTAATAAGTATTTTTTGAAGACGAAATTACTCAGCCCTTGAATAATTTAAAGTTATAAACTGAAGTTATTTGATAGGAATACTCCAATATGTAATCAGTATTAAACTATAAACTGTTACAGATTTAAATATCTAGATCTGCTTCTTGAGCCTGAATGAATTTAGACTTCCTGTGAAATGACTAGAACTGTAGAAAAATTAAAAGTTATATTTATCCTCAGCTTTAACTCTTTCATTTTTAATCCTGCATTTTCATTATGTTAAATTTAAATACCATAAAGTTCACATTACAGCATTTAGATCAGTCCTATTTTAACTTCTCTGAATAAACTAGATATAATGAGAATACTAACAGGAGAAGCCCTTTTTCCTCCTATCAGTACATCATAGCTATTTTGATTTTCTATGTTAAAATAAAATGTATTAGCATAAATATAAGAATTTAAATGCTTTACCTGAAGAACAACTACTATCCAGGTCAGTCGATTATACCCCTGAAAAAACCCATTCTTTGACACCAGTTCTCCATCATAAACATATACTCCCATTAATCCAAATATACTCCCAAAGAAACCTTAAAAAAAAAAAAAAAAGTAAAGTCTATGTTATATGTCCTTTGGTTTGTCAGGAGAGATATTTTTCCATTAACATTACAAATAATTTTAAACTTAACTTTTCCTTTTTGATAAAATTTGATTAAAAGTTTTTTTAGTTGTATAATTATATAGACTTAGAAAAAAGATACTCAATACCATATTTTGACTAAGAAAAAGACATGGGAATGTAAAACAGAACAGATTACCAGCCTTGGAGCACTGAAAAAAATAGGGTGTATACATTACAGGACTATATGGATATCCCATTCAAATATTTGTAAAATGTGCACTTTTGTATATTTCATTGTATCTTCCTACTGCTAGATCTGTAATTTCATATATTCACATTCATATATGCAGATATAATAACTCAGGTATGTGGTATGGCATTTTTCTTTATTTAGAAATTTTGGATATATGATAATATCCAAAAAAATTAGAAAAGAAACAGTCAGCCACAGGCAACATCAGAATGTTGTTACTGAAGTCTCACCGTTAGGGAAAAGTCAGCTCAGTGAGAGCAGGAAATGTGTCTTGTTCACTGCTGAATCCCTTACTTCTACCACAGAGCTTATGGTAGACTTATGCCTTATGACTACTGCAACTAAGATTTCCTAGAGCAATCCCAAACTATGACTAAAGAAATGGTTATATTACAGGAATCACCTCTTCAGGGAGAAGTCTTTGGTAACATGCAAATAGTGCAGGGTAAAGCAATTTTCTAAATAAAGTCACAACTAATCAAAGTATTCCACAATGAAAAAGTAACCAAAAGGGATGTGAAATGTTCTTTCTAAATTTTATTTGCAGCAACTAGCAGCTTTTATAAAAGGTTTATTTAATTAAAGATACATAGAAATCTTTAAATATAACAATATAATCACTTTAAAAGTAATGTTAGAAAACATTTAAAACTTACCAAGTTGAATGTTTCTTATCCACACTGATTGTTTGGTTTCTTTTAAGATTTTCTCAAAGTAAACCCCAGCAAAGCCACTTGAAAAACATGCTGTGAGAACTGCCATGAGGCCTACAAATTGTGAGCCAGCTGAAAGTTCCTTAGAATTAAGCTCTTGAGAATCTGAGGGCCACTGAACAAAAAGAAACAACAGAAGTTTAATTCCTATAGTATGTTACAAAATACATGTTTAGAGCCCACTCTTAGACCTTAAGGTAAAAGTGCAACCATTTCCATTCCTGGGGATTACAGAGGACAGCTTTTGAAAAAACCTTAGAATAACTTTTTTTTCCCATAGTGATATTGCCTTTACAATCTATAATTTCAAAAATACCCTAAAAAAACAGCTGCTGTTGCTGCAGTTTAGTCACTAAGTTGTGTTCGACTCTTTGCGACCCCATGGACTACAGCCTGCCAGGCTGCTCTGTCCACGGGATTTTTCAGGCAAGAATACTGGAATGAGTTGCCATTTCCTTCTCCATAAAAAAGAGAAAGAGAATGAATAAATGCACAGATGCACAAAACAGCCTCTATAAGCAGGTCAGTTGTAGAAGTTCAGAGTGTGAAGTGTTGGAGCAGCAAAATTAAGTCCAGAGTGGCTGCTGTATTATGGAAGGGCCATATCAAGCCAAACATTCTGAGCTTTATTCTGTAGATCAGTGTTCCTAAAACTTCACTTATTTCTCGATCCTTCTCATGGTTTTTGCCTACCTGAACTATTAGTTACTTGATTTTTAAAAATACCTCACTTTTAAAAATTGAATACCAACTACTTCACCTTAAGCAGGACCTATAAAAATATGGGTTTGATATGCCAATTATATTTCAGTAATACTCATTTAAATAAATAACTATTAGAAATATTTATTGAAAATACACAATACATACCACACTCTAAGGAAAGTGACTGGCAGGAGAGGGAAGGAGGACTTTGGATGGCAGGAAATTGACATGATTAGATTTATTTTAGATAGCCCACAGTGGTGAATAAGTGGAGGCTGAATTTTGGGTGATGGTAAAAAACAAAACAAAACCATCAATTAAGAGGCAAAAGATTACTTGAGAAACAAAGAAGTCATGAAATGGGGAAATATTAGTAGATACAGACAAGGACAGAATCAAGAAGTATTAGAAAACAGTCACAAAGTCTTAGTGATTGGATGTATAGGCTGAAGGAAGACTCTAGGACAACTCTCAAGCTAAGTAAATAATGATGGGAAAAAAATAGAAATAAAGAACAGGTCTGGTGGGGTAAAGGTAAAGTTTGGTTTTGGATACACTTGGTTTATAAGGCCTGCCGAAGTGAAAAGTGAACCTGTTAGTCACTCAGTCGTGTCCAGCTCTTTGCGACACCATGGACTGTAGCCTGCCAGGCTCCTCTGTCCATGGGACTCTCCAGGCAAGAGTCCTGGAGTGTGTGGCCAGTCCCTTCTCCAGGGGATCTTCCTGACCCAGGTCTCCTGCATTTCAGGTGGATTCTTGACCATCTGAGCCACCAGGGATGCCCACAACCAACCAAAGACGTCCAATGGCTTTTAGATATACAAGTCAGAAACTAGAGGCGACGACCAGAGCTGATGACTCAGATCAACGAACTATCAGCACATGCATTAATAAAAACACCCAGGAAGAGTGAATCTCCAAAAATAAGGACATAATTTAAGAGAAATAATAAGCCTATCAACAACCCCAATATCTAATGTGTATATGAGGGAAGAGGACCCCAGGAAGGAAACCACTAAGGAATCATTATAAAGATGTGAAAAGAACCAAGAAGTGGTGTCAGGGAAGCTGACAGACAACAGGAACCGAGTGACTGATCTCAAATGTGCCCATACTAAGTAAAAATCAGCTTTGTTTTACAAGTCTTACTTCCCTAAATAGACTATTCACTTCTTTGCCTCAGATTATCTGATTTTATTTCTTTGTATCATTTATAGTCCCAATGTGGTATCTTCCTCATGGGGGAAGCCCTCAAAAACAGTTGTGAGAATAAGCATTAATTTGCATCAACAAATACCAACCATACTCTCCAAAATGAGATTTTGAAACTGTGATAAAAATGAAAGTTATACTTATCTTGAATAGTTACCTGTACAAAAGCAACTCCTGTCATCAAAATTACTAGGGAGAGCCACTGGTACACACCTAATTTTTTACTAAGCATCGACACAGAAAATAGTGCAGTCGTAAGAATTTTCAACTGATATGTGACCTGAAAAAGAAAACGGCTAATATTATTGTTTGTCTGTTTGTTTCTTAGCAGGACTACTAGAAATGTATTTTGGGTACCTGATAAGTAGCTGCATCGAGATTTGACAGTGCCACATAAAGTAAATTATTCTGAAGAGTATATATCCCTGATGGAATAGCAAGTTTAAGTGTTTCCATAGGTTTATTAAGAATTTCATCATGTAGTATTCGATTCAGTGCTCTTAGACTACATTCTAGGAAAAAAATGGACACGAAATGGACAAAATCAGTAATTAAGTAACTCTGAATCTGTTCCATACTCTCTCTCAAATCCCTGGTTTTTTCACCTATAAAAAAATGGAAATTCAGCTACTTATTAAGATACTTTGAGGTCTAAGATTTACAGACATACCTCAGAGAGATTGCAGGTTTAGTTCCAGACCATAGCCATAAAGTGAGTATCACAATAAAGTAAGTCACAGAACTCTTCTGGCTTCTCAGTGCAAATAAATGTTATGTGCACACTGTATGATAGTCTGGTAACTGTGCAATAGGATTATGTCTAAGAAAATGTAAATACCTTAATTAAAAAATACTTTATTGCTAAAAAATACTCATTATCATTTCACAATGCTGGGTTGCCACAAATCTTCAATTTGTAAAAAACACAGTATCTGCAATAAAATAAGGTATATCTATACCTTTAATGATGCTAATATTTCAAATGTTAAATCTTAGAGAAGACAGTATATTAAGAAGTGCCTTATCTTTATAATAATATGTATCTTTCACTGGGAAATAAATTGATATGCACATGTATATATTTATGATAATAAAAATCTGATAGTATTAATTTGTCAACCAAGTTTTCTTACTTTATCATAGCAACATTATAATACCTTGTATTTTATAATGTATTCTATCATCAGTCATTCATGCCAATTAATAATTATGAAGACTTTAATCATAAAATGGTATCGATTAGGAAGTGGGTTTGGCTCAAACAACAGAAAACTCAATCAACACTGGCTCAAACCCATAGGGATTTGTCTCACATTACCATGAGTCCAGGGCCAAAGCTGCTATAGCAGCTCAGTAATGGCATCAGGGACCTAAGTTCTCTCTCTATATATATATGTATATATAAGATTTTTAATTTCATGCTTTTCATCTATTATGTACGTGATTTTTGCAACAGGTTACCAAATGACTGAGCACCTCTGGTTCTTCCTTCTGGTAACCAAAGAAAAGAGGAGGGAACAGTGGCCTAGCAGGCATCTTCTTCCCTCTCACTGATCAGGACTGTGTGTTGCATAACTACTCCATGCTGCAAGGGAGCTGGAAAATCAACCCTTTTCTTTTATATTCTCCACTTTAGAGATAAGAAAGGGAGAAAGGAGTTAACAGTGGACTCTGAGCTAGCCAATCCCCAGTATCAATCACAAAAAAAGTCCAAAGAACTTTAAAGAGATACATGATCTCCCAAAGAAAGGAGAAAGTCTAAGGAAACCTACCACTCTACCAACAATGACACTTTATAGATGATTGTCTCTCTCAACATAAAATCTGAAAACTTTGATTATGAAAACTGTTTTAAAATGAAAATAACTTAAAAAAAAATGCTGCTAGATATTCATCCTTTCCTGACTCTAAAATAGTAAAAAAATTATGTAAGTAGTTAAAAATTACCAAGATTTTTTCTTAGTTTTAGCAGAAAAAAATCTAAAATATTAGCTCATTCTTAAAATTAAATTTTTAAATAATGTTATCACATTTTTCTTATTAGCAGTCTGAGAGTAGTGAAATTGAGTCTTGTGGCTTTAATTTGATTTTTCTCATTGCTAGAGAGGTAGAGCATCTTTTTAAACATTTATTATTTTCTGAATACAAATGCAATCTCTTTTTGTTTCTCCTAGATCGATACACTCCAGCTACAATGGCCAACATGACAGTTTCAAAAGCATACAAAATTTACAAAAAACCCAATTAAAAAATGGGCAACAACTTAAGCAGATATTTCTCTAAAGATACACAAATGGCCAATAAGCAAATGAAAAGGTGCTCAACATTATTAGTCATCAGGGAAATGCAAATCAAAACAACAATGGGATACTACTTCACACCTACTAGAATGGCTGTAATTTTTTAAAAATGGAAAATAGTAAGTGCTAGTGAGGATATGGAGAAATTGGAATTCTGTACGTTGCTGGTAGGGATCTAAAATGGTGCAGTTATTGTGGAAAAGTCTCACTGTTCTTCAAAATGTTAAACAGAATTACCATATGACTCAGCCATTCTATCCTGAAGTATATATTCAAACGAAATGAAAACAGAGGCTTGTATGTCTAATGCAGGATTATTCACTGTCTATCACAGCATTATTTACAATAGCCAATGGGTGGAACAACTGAAGTGTCCATCAATACAAGAATGGATAAAATGTTACACAGATCTTTTTTCAGTTACAATGGGTTATATCCCAATAAACCCATTATAAGCTGAAAATATCTTAGGTCAAAAATGCATTTAATACACTTAACCTACCAAATATCATAGCTTAGCCTGTTGCTGCTGCTGCTGCTGCTAAGTCACTTCAGTCGTGTCCGACTCTGTGTGACCCCACAGACGACAGCCCACCAGGCTCCCCCGGTCCGTGGGATTCTTCAGGAAAGAACAATAGAGTGGGTTGCCATTTCCTTCTCCAGTGCATGAAAGTGAAAAGTGAAAGTGAAGTCGCTCAGTCTTGTCTGACTCTTAGCGACCCCAGGGACTGCAGTCTACCAGACTCCTCCATCCATGGGATTTTCCAGGTAAGAGTCCTGGAGTGGGGTGCCATTGCCTTCTCTGATAGCTTAGCCTAGATTACCTAAAATGTGCTCAGAACACTTAAACATTATCCTAACATTGGGCAAAATCATCTAACACAAAGCCGATTTCATAGTAAGTGTTGAATATCTCATGTAACTTACTGAATACTGTATTGGAAGGAAACACACACTGATTGTATGGGTATGAATGGTTGTAAGTACACTGGTTGTTTATCCTTGAGATTGTGTGTCTGACTGGGAGCTGCAGCTTGCCGTGGCTGCCCAGCACCCTGAGAGTATCATATCACTGGCCTAGAACAAGATCAAAGTTCAAAGTATGATTTCTGCTTAATGCATATCACTTTAATGCCATTATAGGAAATGGCAACCCACTCCTGTATTCTTGTCTGGAAAATCCCATGGACAGAGGAGCCTGGTAGGCTAGAGTTCATGGGGTCACAAATAGTCACACATCAGTGAGTGACTGAGCACAGCACAAAGTCAAAAAAATCATTAAGTCGAACCATCATTAAGTTGGGGACCTCCAGTGTATATATACACACACACACATATACATACAATGGAATACTATTTAGCCATAAAAAGAAATGAATTCTAAGATACATTACAATATATGTGTGTGTATGTGTGTGTGTATATAATATTAGTCATGGCTGGACTAATCATGCAGCAAATAAAATAAAAAAGCCTAGACTTTAGTTAAAAATTATGACTCCTCTAAGTTATTCTTATTCTCAAAATTATTATAAATGCAAGAAACTATGCTTCATATTTATAGCATTAATCCAGACATGAAATCATGATATAGTTTAGAATAAGATACCTTTATTACTAGACTAAAACTATCTTAAAATGAAAATTGAAATGTTCTTAAATAATGCAACAGTGTTCCAATGTGTAGTCACCTATATATATATCACATACATATATGTACCTATATACGTGTGTGTGTGTACTGTGTGTGCTAAGTCGCTTCAATTGTGTCCAACTTTTTGTGACCCCATGTACCGTAGCCTGCCAGGCTCCTCTGTCCATGGGATTCTCCAGACAAGAATACTGGAGTGGGTTGCCATTTCCTACTCCAGGGGATCTTCCCAACCCAAGGATTGAACCTGAGTGTCTTGCGGGTCCTGCATTGCGGGCGGATTCTTTACTGCTGAGCCAACAGAGAAGTCTTATGCGTGTGTGTGTGTGTGTGTGTGTGTATACATGTGTGCGTGTATATATACATATATATATGAGTAACTCCAAAACAATTAAATAAACTTCAATGACTTAACAAAAACCCCTAGATACCTACTGCTATCTTTGTAGACTAATAAAATGCAGGCCATTATCTTCAAAAGTTCAGCAACAACCACAGCTGTAGATGATAGATAACGAGGCCCCTCTTCTTTTAATGTCCTAGAATAACGCATCGTTAGAACCAAACTGGTAGTCTGAAAGACCAAAATTCCTAAAGAAAGGTATTTTAGGTTGGCGGACATTGTCTTATCTTCATTTGCCTGAAAGACAAAATGTACAGGGCAAATAAAGTTAGAAAACATAGAAATTAGAAACATTAAAAACCAGTAAGAGAGGTCCATTCCAAAGAAGATAAACTGCATTCCACCCTATTTTTCCTTCTAGTTACAACTATAAACCTTGAACCAAAGACAAAGCAACTATAAGGAGACTCTGAGAAGGTGAAAAAATAAGGCAAACTGGCTAGAGACTGCAGATCTTGAGTAAATGTAGCAGTAAATTCCCTGGAGATTTCGCCACTCCTGTATCTCACCCTGGGTGCTACAGCAGTTCACAACCTGGAACCACCAACAGATGTAGGTCAATAACAAAAAAGCCATTAAGAAAAAACCCACCATCTCCAACCGAGGGCTGGGAAGACAGCAGTCCCACAGGATGCAACCCTCCCAATTGAGTGCTGTGTAATCTGTGGGCAGAGCCTTGCTGACCATCCCCAACTTGCACAAATGACAACAGAGCTGGTGGCCCTCCCACCCCCCACCAGGCACTGTAGCCAAATAGATTGTGGGGGCAGAGCCCTGCCAACCACTCCTGCCCCATATAAGCCCTATATAAGCACTGAAGATGCAGCACCATTCTTCCCTCTCCAGTGGCTGTCTATTTAATTAGGAACCAGGGTCTCAGAACACTCTAAATGCCCAGGATACAATCCAAAGTGAGTGTACTCATCCCACAAAAAGAGAAAAAAATCTCAACTAGGATGAATAAGGACAATCAACAGGCAACAACACATAGTACAGATGCTGGAATTATCAGTCAAGAATTTTAAAGAGGTCACTACAAAAATGCACCACCAACAAGCAATTATAAACATTCTTGAAATAATTTTATACCTATATCACTGAAAAAAATAGTATAGAAGTTCTCATGTACACTTCACCCAGTGTCCCCTAAAAATAAAAGGAGCAAAGCTCCAATATTTTTTCTAAGGTAATTTAATATTAACTCTAAGAGACTCACTTTTAAATATGAACATACAAATATGTTAAAAAGTAAAAGGACTGGAAAAAGATAAGCCATGATAAAAATAGCTATGAGAAAGTTGGAGGAATTAGATTAGTATCAGGCAAAACAGATTACATAAGAATTATTTTTAGAATTAAAGGATACTTCATAATTGTAAGAGTCAACACATCAGGAAGATATTATAAATGTACATGTGTTAACATAGCTTTAAATACATGAAGCTGACAGAACTAAAAGGAAGAACAGGTAAATCTACAGTCAGAATGTGGGATTTTAACCCACCTTTCTCAGTAACTGATAGAATACACACACACACACACACACACACACACACACACACACACACACACAACCCAGTAAGAATACAGAAGATCTGAATAACACCATCAATCACTAAAACTCTGTAGACTTGGAGATGATCCACTAAGATCTTCCTTCAAGGAAAGACTTAATGTAGTGTGCATGGTCAGTAAACTGCCTCTCTGCCGTAAGTCACATCTTTGCTTCAAATTCATCTAAAGATTCAATCTCAAAAAAAAAAAAAAAAATCCCTGAAGGTTTTTTTTGGTAGAAATTGAAAAACTGATTTGAAAATTTATAGGAAAATACAAAGGACCTGGACAACCAAAACAATTTTGAAAAGGAAAAATAAAGTGGAATGGGTTAAACTACTGAAATTCCAGACTTACTATAGAGCTCTAGAAATAAAGACTGGTATTAACATAAGGACAGAAGAATAGATCAATGGAACAGAATGAATTCCAGAACAAGATCCATACGTATTTGGTCAAATAATTTTGACAAAGGTACCAAAATGAAAGCACAGTCTTTTTAACAAATAATTCTGAAACAATGAGCTATCTGTAATTTTTTAAATGAACCACTATTTATCTGCCTCATGCCAAATATTAAGTAGAAATAGAGCTGTTATAAAAGCTAAAACTATAAATATTCAAGGTGAAAACATGGGAGAAAATCATATCCACATTTCTTACAAAATGCACAAACCATAAAAGAGAAACATGGAAAAACTGGACATCATCAAAGTTTAAATCTGCTCTTCCAAAGATACTGTAAAAACAATGAAAGGCAAACCACATCACGGGGGAAAATATTCTCGATACAAAAATCTGACCATGGCCTTGTATCTAGAATGTATATAGAACTCTTATAATGAGCAGAAAAAAATTACCCAAATGAAAATGGACAAAAGATCTGATAAACATTTCACCAACAAAAGATAAAATGGCTAATATGCCCATGAAAAAATGTTCAATATCACAGTCATTAGAGAAATACAAATTAAAGCCACAATGAGATAACATTATATACCTACGAGAACAGATGAAGTCTTAAAAACTGATGCTACCAAGTGTTGAAGAGGGTTTAAAGTGAAAAGAACGCTCAACTTTGCTAGTGGGAATGTAAAGTGCACAATCACTTTATCACCCGTCTATCTCATTCTTATAAATCTGCATGAGCAAAAGAATCCTAATGTGAAATAAAACTGTAGCATTTTAGAGGTGGAAAATGTTTTAGAAATCATCCAGTACAATCTATTCATCTTACAATAAAGAAAACTGTGAACAGAGAAGTTAGATGACTTCTTCAAGGTCTAATAACTACTAATTGGAAATAGCAGTTATAAAGACAAATATCAGGTTCTCTAGATCCCATTACATGCTACTGTAAAATTTCAAAAGACTTCCTGGTGGCCTTTTATCTCTGTATAAAAGGAGAATAGGTTGCCAGCAATCTACATTTGGCAAAGGCATTTGATTTTCCTGGAAAATATTACACAATTACTTCAAATTTGTTCAAGAAAGTCTTCTGTTTATTCTGTACAACTAAAACTCAGCAGTGGCTACAGGACTAGAAAAGGTCACTTTTCATTCCAGTCCTAAAGAAAGGCAATGCCAAAGAACACTCAAACTACTGCACAATTGCACTCATCTCACACGCTAGTAATGTAATGCTCAAAATTCTCCAAGCCAGGCTTCAGCAATACGTGAACCGTGAACTTCCAGATATTCACGCTGGTTTTAGAAAAAGCAGAGGAACCAGAGATCAAATTGCCAACATCTGCTGGATTATCGAAAAACCAAGAGAGTTCCAGAAAAACATCTACTTCTGCCTTATTGACTATGCCAAAGCCTTTGACTGTGTGGATCACAATATACTGTGGAAAATTCTGAAAGAGATGGGAATACCAGAGCACCTGATCTGCATCCTGAGAAATCTGTATGCAGGCCAGGAAGCAATAGTTAGAACTGGACATTTAACAACAGACTGGTTCCAAACAGGGAAAGGAATAAGTCAAGGCTGTATATTGTCACCCTGTTTATTTAACTTATATGCAGAGTACATCATGAGAAACGCTGGGCTGGATGAAGCACAAGCTGGAATCCAGATTGCTGGGAGAAATATCAGTAACCTCAGATATGTAGATGACACCACCCTTATGGCAGAACATAAAGAAGAACTAAAGAGCCTCTTGATGAAACTGAAAGAGGAGAGTGAAAAAGTTGACTTAAAGCTCAACATTCAGAAAAGTAAGATCATGGCATCTGGGCCTATCACTTCATGGCAAATAGATGGGGAAACAGTGGAAACAGTGGCTGACTTTATTTTTTGGGGCTCCAAAATCACTGCAGATGGTGACTGCAGCCATGAAATTAAAAGATGCATACTCCTTGGAAGGAAAGTTATGACCAACTTAGACAGCATATTAAAAAGCAGAGACATTACTTTGCCAAAAAAGATCCATCTAGTCAAAACTATGGTTTTTCCAGTAGTCATGTATGGATATGAGAGTTAGACTATAAAGAAAGCTGAGTGCTGAAGAATTGATGCTTTTGAACTGTGGTGTTGGAGAAGACTCTTTAGAGTCCCTTGTACTGCAAGGAGGTCCAACCAGTCCATCCTAAAGGAGATCAGTCTTGGGTGTTCATTGGAAGGACTGATGTTGAAGCTGAAACTCCAATACTTTGGCCACCTGATGAGGAGAGCTGACTCATTTAATAAGACACTGATACTGGGAAAGATTGAGGGCAGGAGGAGAAGGGGACAACAGAGGATGAGATGGTTGGATGGTATCACCGACTTGATGGATATGAGTTTGGGTAAACTCCAAGAGTTGGTGATGGACAGGGAGGCCTGGCATGCTGTGGTCCATGGGGTCGCAAAGAGTCGGACACTAATGAGCAACTGAACTGAAGACCATAATGTACATATTGTAACAGCAATACCCTGATTTCTTTTCAAATGAAAATGTAAAGGTCAGATTCTAAGCCAGGATATATTACTTCTACAATTTGGCTTTTCCACTTCCAAGTATATACTACATCAATATAAACATTTTCTGTGATAATACAGTTCTTAATATTCTTAGTCTCTCATGCTATATTTTTCTAAGTCTGTGACTGAATAGAAAAAAATATACACTGGTTCTGCCCCTGGCTCTTGAAGCCCTGGTAGTTCCCTAAGAGATAAGGGCACTAGGACCATCTTTTATTCTAATATGTGGTCTTTGACCCCAGTTCCTGACACAGTGCTCCTGAAATCCTTGTAATTTTCTGGGTGGTAGATGTGTCTTTTGTTCCAATAAGGCAAATGTGGGTGGGCCTCTGGATGACTCCTGAATGAGAAGCCATGATTAGAAGCTTGGAATTTTCAGCCGCATCTCTGAGCTCCCCTACTCCCCCATTGTCTTAAGAAGGCAGAAGGGCTGAAAATGGAGTTAATGATGGATCATGCCTATGTGATGAAGCCGCCATAAAATCCCAACAGTACAGGGTGAGGAGGGCCTCCAGGCTGGTGAACATATCCGTACAGGGCAGGTGAAGCACCCCAAGTCCATGGATACAGAAGCTCCTGTGCTGGGAACCCTCCCAGACCCTGCCCTAACCTTCATCTGATTGCTCATTTGTATCCTTTATCATATCCTTTAATAAACTGGTGGACATAAATGTTTCCCTGAGTTCTATGAGCCACTCTAACAATTTAAATCAGAGGA